TAAAGCTACTCTCAGGTAACCCGACCAGGCTGTGTGACTAACGTAACGTCAATATACACAGGGTATTCTAACCCTAGCAATACCGTTTCAAGTTGGAGCTACCCTCAGGTGAGGAGGGACCACAAGTTGCACAACGCACACAAACCTGAAGATTATACCAGTGGGTGCCGATGAAGTTAGCATAATGCCCTACTTGTAAGGTAATAATTTCCATTGAGGCAGTGGTAGTGCCTACCTGAGAACACAATATACAGAGAGTTCTCAGATGCCTGTACCAACAAATCAACGACAGCAAATGTACACCACACACGCCTCCTGACCGGAAGCTGGAGAGGAACTGGATAATGAAAACCACTGATCTCAACCACAGCTGGAGTCAACCACTGATCTCTATAAATTATAAATATACTGTTTAATATCATTTTATACCGTTTTATACCGTTTTAAAAATACCGTTTTATTTATAATAAAACGGTTATTAGATCAGTGGAGTCAACGTATGACGTATAGAGAGCGCCACGTACGCGCAAATGAGTATTTCTGTATTTTGATTCATTGCAATTTGGATGTGAAGAGAGGTTAGAGTAAATCATTTTTCATTTATTTGCCGTGAAATCACTGTAATTCACACAATACATTCATAATCATGGCTGATATTACACCTGTTTTGTACGTGACTAGGATAGAATCTTTTAGTGCGTGCCATCGTTTAAACAGGTGAATACTACTACTACTACTAGTACGAGGGTAAGCTAAATAGTATTATTCCGCCATTATGGCATTAATAGCTAATTACTATCCATAATACCGGATATATATATCATGCTATAATTATCTTAGCTCCTGCTCGTTACACTACATACTACTACTGTAGTGCGCCCTAGGGTAGACGACTACGTTCGACAGACGTTAATTGCGTAGCGTGTCCATAGTGGGATTCAGGGTCAGGCCTGTCGGTGTTATCAGGCAGGACGCGTGAAGCCACGTGGCACAGCAGATAACAGGTACCCAGTTAAAGCAGAACACGGTGAGAGTTCGGTTTACGATACGGATGAATATAGCGTTTAATTGGGCGTGTTACAATTTACAAATGATTCCCGCGCTGCATTCGTTAATGGCAGCGACCTTTTATCGATACCCGTCTAATTCTACGCGTTGCCGCTCCGTCTTCTCTCACGTGTCGTGT